AGATAAATAAATTCTTTTAAGAGCAATAACTATTTAGTATTTTTTTATTTATTTAATAAAAGCAATAATAAACAAAATACATAATTTCTAATTTTATGTATGGCAGTGGTAATATCGATTGTGGTAATATCGATGTTAAACTATCGATGATATACGATTGTAGTGACTATCGATAGCACCGTCGATTGTTATATAGATTAGTTGAACAACTATTTGTTCATGAACAACGCAACCACCGGGAGCTTAATGTATGCAGTTCTTTTTTTTTACATAGGAGTTGCCTATCTATTATATTATACTTATCTATGGGTATTATTGAGTTGTTTGATCCAGTAAGTCCAGTTATTAAACGTTTAAAACTTGGTTTCTCACATGTTCTTAATGGACACATTTCGTTAATAATATAATCAAATACTAATGTCTTAACCTGAAAATAAACAAAATAACAGAAATTAATATAATTATAATTATCATTATTATCAATTACTAGAACCTGGGAAACGAAAAACGGTACTGGTTTGTTATAGCCCCGCCACTCATGTTTGTTATTGTCCTAAGACAATATGTTTATGATGTCTAAACATCATAAACAATTGTATACATTTTTTAATTTATCATTGTTTTATAGGTTATTATTTTTCCATTTTTTAATATTAAGTATAGGTATCTATCATCAAATTATTAGATTTATATCAATAAATAACCTGTATTATTTTATATTTATACGATGGGTTTATTGTAGTATGGATGGCTGGGCTATAACAAATCTGAGTGACGGGGCTATAACAAACCAGTACCCAAAAAACATTTAAAAATTACACAAATAAATTTTAAAATCACAAAACTAGCAGAGTAATTACCATTTCCTTTGTCACTATTTTTGGACGCAAATCAAACATTTTAGTTTGAACAGAATTAGAATCAGAATTATTTTTATTTCTTGTTCTGGCTATCTCAACTTTGGAGAGTAAGAATGAATGTTGACTCTATTAAAAAAAAATTGAATAATTATTTTAATGTTAATGGGTAGGTACATAGGTTACTTTGTATACCTTATAAAACAATTTCATAAGAATAAGAAATTGATGACTTATGACTACTAAAAATATGTCTAATATGTATCTATGAGCTATGATATAATTTATAAATTATAATACTTTCTAAATTATTGGTGTAGAACATAATGGATACCAAGGCTGGACATTAATGAATTAAAAGTTAAAATTAAGTTAAAACGTTAAGTTAATTAACTCCTTACTTTTATTTCAAATTAATTTTTAACTTAATTAGTTACTTTTTTTAAAGATTAATATGTTAACATCAAGTTAATTTTATTCAAACATATCTAAATTAAGTTAATTTTCGTCCAAAGAATAATGCAAATTTTTAATGAGGATTTTAGAAAAGTAGGTTTTTTGATAGCTAGTTAATACTTTGATGTATCATTTTAAAATTCCCCAGTAATTTTCATGGGCGTAAAGAAAAACTAACTAATAAATATTATTAGGTATATGTCTGGAATTTTTTATTTTGCAAATTAGAAAATTTTAACTTTAAACTAAGTTAAGTTACTTTTTTTTCTAAGTCAACATTTAACTTGACAAGTTAACAAAAAAAAATATGAATAACTTTTAACTTAGGTAACTTTATTATTTTAAAACAACTTAACTTAACGAGTTAAAAAAAATCGTTAACTCGTCTTGCTGGATACTATGTACAGTATATGACTAATATAATTTATAATACAGTATACACAATACGCACCTATTATAGTTAAGGTACTATGAAAACATTAATTAGCTTTGTAGGTATTCTACTTGATAAAATATTTAAAAATATAGATACTCGTTTTCTAATAAAAAAAAAGTATATGGGTATTTATTTCAAATTTGAATTTGGACAAATATAATTTATTTAAAATGCTTCAATTATTAAAAGCTAGAGAATTAATTAGAATATTTTGTAAAAACATATTTTTCAAATTGTATTATGGTTAGCAGGTTAGGTACCAAGCTGTAATACATAAACAAAATAATACTTATAGTAATAATAATAATTTAAGTATCCATTAGGCAAACTAATAAATAATAATAGGATTTATAAAATTATAAATAGGTACAAAATATGAAACATTTTACTCTAAGATCTATATTATAATATATTAATATGTATAGTTGTGAAAATTTGATAAAACACTATTAATTATAGATACCTACCAACTACCGTGTTATTTAAAACTTACTTTGATATGACTCAATAAATTTCCACTGGACTTGGTAGACGCACTTATATTCTTATGGCAGTTCATACATGATGCTATTAACTTTTCGCCATCAGTCGACACTAATTTGAAAAATTCATTAAACAAATACTTGAATTTTATGTTCGTTATAAACGGTGTTGTTTTTGGATAATTTATATTTTGAGCAGAGTCTTCTATTCGAGCTCTCTTTATAAAACGATCCATAATTGATAAAAAATATTTAAACGAATAATTATTTAAAAAAATGAACTGAATAAACCATGACTATTGTACTATACAGGCATACAGCGAACGCGGACGGTTATGAATGAAGTCATTAGTCAATACTCAATAATTATGATGGTATGATACTTTTTCCATAGGCAATGAATAATAATAAATAAAATATTTATAACTTGCAGTGGTTAATTAATAAAGGTTGTTGGCGAATGGTGAGTGGACTGAGTGGAAGCCGAAGTGGTGGTTTATTCTTATTAGTTATTGGTATTTTTAAACTATTATAAATTATAATTTATAATACCAATATTCCCACTTCCCAGTACTATCGTCTATCAGGTTATTCTTAGACCTTCGACTTGAATTATTTAATATTATTATATAATAAGCTAAGCTTATCTATTATCGTCTGTCGACGATCAACGATACAATTATTATTAATTTCTTAAAATAGGTGCACATTAGCCACGAATGACAATAATAATACTAGGTACCTAAATATATAAGTATAATTAATTTATTATATAATATATTATACAATTTTAAAAATAATATCAGAAAACATAATGTTCGTATATTTTTCAGATTACGTCTCGTGAACAATCTAGATAAATTAATTTAGATGACGAAGTTTTCTATCTTAGATGACTGGTAGATACCAATTGTGTAATTTATATAAATAAGATAAAAGATACGATTGTTTTATCTGGATGAGGTATCTAGATAAATTTATCTAACTAAATTTAGCTATTGCACAACACTGCTACTTAAGACCATTTCATTTGTCATGCAGAAATGAATTTGACGAGTTCCATTGTCGTTGCTTGTGTCATGGAGACTATCTCTGCCAATCGTTGGTCTATATACCTCCTCCTTGCCTATTTTCGCATTGAAATCCCCAAGAAATATTTTAACAAAATAATTAGATGTTATATCGCATATACTGTCAAGATCTTCATAAAAATCTTCTTTGATATCATCTCTCTTGTCTTCAGTTGGTGCGTAACAATTTATAATTATAAGATCAAATATGCGTCCAGTTATCCGTATGTAGCACATACGCTCATTGAGTGCCTTTAAATCTTTAACATATGGTAATATATTATTCTCACTTATTACAAATCCTACTCCGTTTTCGAAGTTTCCATCCCTATTTTCACTATAAAAATTAGTTTTGTCATCCTTTTTGAGACTTCCTTCTCCAGGCCACCTCATTTCTTGTAGGGCTAATATAGAAATATTATAATTTTTAATGGCGTTCAGCATACACTGTAACGCCCCAGTTTTATTAACCAGATATCCAGACCAGACTCCCTAACCAATTAAGGTCAGGGTATCAAAATTAACGATCATAATATCAGACTACAAAATATATGTATACGATTAGAACAGAACCCTGGGTATAATTTAACCGAATTTATCAACGCTATTGCTTCAAATTTGAAATTGTAAGCATTCTTACAGTAATTATATTTCCCTGTGTTTCAACAAAAACATTTTTTATTTTTTATGAAAATTGATTTTTATGAGAAATAACTTTTATCATATATGATTTTTATGACACATAATATTATGATATCTGACCTTATGACACATGACTTTCTAACACTCGACCTAGATTCCAATAATTGTAAATGTAATAAATGATCGTGAATCTCTTGAAAAAATTGTCATTAACTTTCAGACCGTCCTTATTAATACTTATATGCCATTAGTTTTATTTCTTGAAAATATTAAAAATATTTGATTTTCAAAATTAAGAAAATAAATGTTTTATTGAATTATTAAAACAGATAAATAATTTTACTATGAATAAATAAAAAATAAAAACAATTCAAATAAAGGATAAACAAAATCAATAGTTTTAAATTTAATAGTGCAAAATTAGTCACATACGTTTTCATTTTTAAAGGAAGTAAATATGAATATCAAAACAAATTTTTAAATTACAGTTTATAATCTGAGCCAGGGCCGGGCCGAGAGCCTGGCAAGGTGGGCGCTTGCCAGGGGCGCAAAATATCGAGTAGAAATGGGGGCCCAAAATTTGATATCATCAAATTAGAATTTTAAAATCCAAACCAAAATATTTTAATGTGTTAATATCTATAGATATGTTGGTTGCGAGTTTGCGACCTGATTAATACTGCGATAATTGTGTTGTAAATATAAATTTATATTTTTATGATTAAACAACACATTTATTATTGAAAAAAAAATAGTTTTAATTTACGACGATCGACGATAACTGTTACCGAATGATATCGTATAAGGAATATAGTTTATTTGTAATAATGTATATATTTCTACATATTGTATTGAAATCAGTAAGAAATATTAATACGTTTCCCGACAATAATAAAAATAGAACAACTATGATAATATTATGTGTATCTATGTGAAATGGTAATCAGTTTTAAATTGACCAAACTAATATTATTAAAGACTAAAATAAACTTTACACAACAATACACACACACTGTAACGTAAATAATCTTATTATTATAATACGTATACGATTACGATTATTCTGTTATTTTAATATCGACAGTCGATTGAGCGAGTTATACTAAATCTACGCTCTAAAGCAGTGAAGTCTAAAAAAGAACAAGGTAAATATTTTTAATATCTAATAGGATATATAGAAAATTTAACGATTCTGAATAATTTTTAGCATTAAAAAATTGATCATTTTTCTTGTTAGATTTTATTATTTTATTTTTATTTATGCACAATTGCTCAAATTTGTATACTTTAAATTTAAGAACATAAATAATATAATTACACATTTTATTGATTTATTAGTAAAACAAATATACAAAATTACAAACTAATAGTTGAGTTCTTGAGTTTAAATAGAAAATATAAAACTGACATAGGTAGTATTTAATTATTTAATTTTATTAGTTGAGCTATTGTCGTATTGACTGTTTTTATTATTTTATTATTATTTTAACATTAGGTTACCTATTAAATATGCCCCAAACAAAAAAAAAGCCTTCTGGAGCGTGGTTTGAGAAAAAAAGGCAAGAAAGAGAGAAAAACAATATCAAATCATCAGTAATGTTAAGTAGCTGGATAAATAAAAACACCGAACAAAAAAAAGACAATGCACCGTCAACTAGTTTATTAATTCACAATGTTGAAAAAGACGAACATTTAAATGAAAATTTGAAAAGTATTGAAATTGAAAGTTTAATTGATGACTGTTTTAATTTAACTGAAGATAGTACACAGAATAATGATAATAATGAACCTATAACTAACCAAGAAAATAATGAACTTGACATAAATTTTAATGATCCTGGATGTTGGCCGACTATGACTTCTAGATTTAGAGATTTCATTGTCGAAAGAGGACCATATCTTATGGATCAAAATAATTATTTTACAGTAAATGATGATGGCAGACATTTTGACGGTAAATGGTTTTATAAATTTTTAAATAACGGAGAAAAAGTTCGAAGACAATGGTTATTATACAGTACATCAAAAAATGCCATTTTTTGTTTTGCGTGTCTCCTTTTTTCAAATAATGATATCAGGAAATCTGCGTTTTCTAATAATGGATTTCAAGATTGGAAACATTTAAATACTTCTGTTTCTGAGCATGAGAATAGTAAAAATCACAGACAAAATTTTTTGGACTGGAAGGAGTTAGAAAAGAGATTACGAGACAGTAAAACAATTGACCATGAACTTCAAAATTCTATCAAAAATGAAAAAGAAAAATGGTTTTGTATTCTTAAAGTTATCGTTGACGGAATTTTGTTTTGTGCTAAAAATAATCTGGCATTAAGAGGTTCATCAGACAAAATAGGAGAAACAAATTGTGGTATTTTTTTGAGCCTAATGGAAGTAATAAGTCATTATAACCCAATCTTATTAGCTCACATAAAACATATTACAGATAGTAATAAACCAACTATTAGTTATTTTTCTCATAAAATTCAAAATGAAATAATCTGTATAATGGGTCAACAAGTACGACAAACTATACTTAAACAAATCAAAAAATCAAAATACTTCTCAATTCTTTTCGATTGTACTCCCGATAAATCTCACCAGGAACAAATGTCACAAACAATCAGGTATGTCGACATTTCTAATGGAGAAATTATGATTAAAGAATCATTTATTGATTTTATATGTACTGACGAAAAATCAGGATTAGGGCTTTCTAATGAAATATTAAATACTATAAGAAATAATGGACTTGATATAATGGATTGTAGAGGACAGTGCTATGACAATGGCGCAAATATGACTGGAAATAATAATGGTGTACAATCACATATTTTACGTGTAAATGAACTAGCAACATTTTTACCATGCTCAGCTCATAGCCTAAACCTAGTTGGTGTTCATGCTGCAGAAGTTTCACCCATGATGATAACATTTTTTGGTTTAATTCAAAACATATATTCATTTTTTTCTGGCTCGACAAGTAGATGGGAACTCTTAATGAAAACTATGAAAATTACTTTAAAATCTCATTGTGACACACGTTGGAGTACAAAAAAACAAGCTGTGAATGCTCTAAAATTAAATTTTAAACACGTTTTTGATATATTAAATCTTATGACGACAAACTCGAAAGATTTTAATAAAAACACATCAGCATCTGCTCAACATATTCTAAAACAAATAAATTTTAAGTTTTTATGCCTACTTCATTTTTGGGATTCTATACTAGGGCAGATTGACAAAGTAAATTTATCTTTACAAAATCAAAATCAATCTATTGACGTGGCTACAAAAAGTTTAGAAGGCTTAATTGAATGTATTCAAAATATACGAGACAGTGGTTTTGAAAATGCATTGAATGAAGCTAAAAAAAATGCTCTTTTAATAAAAATACCCACTGATTTTCCAACTACCAGAAAAATAAAACGCAAAATAAATGACTTAGAGTTAAATAAAACAAAAACTAATGAAACAAGTGAAACTATTGTGAAACTACAATGCTATCAATCTTTAGATTCTATTATTACAAGTCTAAAATGGAGATTTGAAAAATTGTCTAATATATCTTCGAATTTTTCATTTTTGTGTGGTCGAAATTTATCGTCTATGGAAATTGATGATATCAAAAAATGGTCAGATGATTTAGCGTTGTTATATAGTGTTGATTTAAATGGTGGTGAGTTATTTACTGAAGTTCAAAGTTTCAAGTTTCAAGCTTCTACATTAATATCATCATTTAAAACTGCAACCTCTTATGACTTTTTAAAATGCATACATCAACATTCTCTACAAGATGTATACCCAAATTTGGAAGTAGCATTAAGAATTTTTTTAACAATGCCCGTTACTACAGCTTCTTGCGAGAGAAGTTTTAGCAAGTTAAAACTTATAAAAAACTATATCCGTTCCACCATGGGTCAAGAACGTCTATCAAATTTAGCTATACTTTCAATTAAACAAGAAATTGCATCTAAGATGGACTACACATCAATTATCGAGGAATTTGCTTCCAAAAAAGCCAGAAAAGTCAATATTTTTTAATTATATACGTTATACTAAATTATACTTAATTTGCAGTATTATTTTATTTTATTTTATTTTACTTTTTTTTTATATAACTCTTGGTTATGTTGTACTGTATTTTATAATTTGTCATAAAGTCATACCAAAGTAGGTAATACAAATATAGATTAATTTTGTTATTATTATTTTTATTATGCATTTGAAACATTCTTAAAATTTTGTTATGTCAACTATTAAAATAATAAACTTGAACTTTAAATTAAACATTAATTATGATTATAGAATATTGATGGATAAATTAACATTTTTTTTTTTTTTTGGAGAGGGGGGGCGCAAATTGTTGCTTTGCCAGAAGCGCCGCTATGGGTCAGCCCGGCCCTGGATAGAAGCATTCATTCTAGCAACCTCTATCGTGGTGGTGGAGTTCTTATAGCAGTTAGGAATAATTTACGCCCTCAGCTCGTCCCTACTGATGTACAAAATGTCGAACAATTATTTGCTCGTATTTCTGTAACAAATGAACTCTCATTAGTGTGGTATACATCCCCCCCCAATGCAAACCTGTCACTTTACGATACCTATACGAAATCTGTGGACCTAACGTGGGAATCATCTAATTGTAATCTAGGTGTATTTTGTGGTGATTTTAACTTACCAGGTACATCCTGGAGTTCCACTAACCAGGATCTCATGTTTAGTGGCACAGTCAATGATAAATCTTCTCTAAT